GGCGGCAGCGGCGGCCGGAGGGACCGCGCCCTGCGGATATTGACCCCGCGTTATCCGATAATGCGCCGCAATGATGGTATACCACGCCTCCGCGGGCCCCGTAATTGTCCCTTCTCCCCGCGCGAATTTCCCGCGACGTTATCCTCGCACACCCTATAATTCTCCTCTCTCGACGTCATCCCCCTCATCATGTGACGTCATCCCTCTCCACCTGTGACACCATCCCCTCACCCTGTGACGTCACCCCTCCCCTCCCTTGTGACGTCATCCCCCTCGCCCTGTGACGTCATCCCTCCCTCACCCCGTGACGTCACCATTTATGACGTCCCCCCCTCCCCTCCCCCTGTGACGTCACCCCCCTCGCCGCTGGTACTCCCCCTGCCCCTCACCTCCCCTTGCCACCACTTGGGTTAGAACCGGCCTATATACCCTACTAACGCCTATTTCTTACGAGCAGTGCAATCGTTGGCCCAAATTTAGAGTCAAGTAATCTAATCCTTTTAACTCGGGACTGGACTACGTGCGATCCCTGAAAAGGCAAGGTTTATGAGGTCTCAGGGTTTTACAAATGGAGAATGAGAGAGAGAGATGTAAACTTCTTAATATTATTTATTAAAACTAATCATTATTAATAGTAACAGGTTACAAATAAAAAATAGAAAAACGTCACGCATAGATAACATTATTATTATAAATTAAGATTATTATCAAAATTATCATTACAACTAAGATCATCACTACGAATTAACACTAGTTACAAAAAGAAATACAAATAAAAAATTTGTTGTCGCAATGAGGAAGAAGATGGTAATTACAATTTTCTCGGACCATGAACGTTCGTTTTATGTGTATGAATTGTTAGAGGATGAAACTCAGGGCGAGAATTGTGTTGTTTTTTTATATTTCGCGTATAGTAGCGGAAGAAAAGAGGTTGAAAAAGAATTCCGGTGTTGAATATAGATAGGCGAAATTTGGATTAAATACTGGAATACTAGAATGAGGAGGAAGAGCGGCAATTGCATGCCGGGTTTCTTGTGGATCGAAATAATGGGGCCCAATCGTGAAAGTCCCCTCGGGAATAGGTTCGGTAGTCCGCGGGAATCTGCCAGTTCCGTCGATTCCATTGATTTTAATGACATTTAAAAGAACAGTATTTGAAATAGTGAATTATTTACTCTTTAGCTAATTAGTTTAATTTCGGGACAAATAAATGATAATCCATGAGACTTACGGTTTTCTGCTGTAGGAATGTTCGCATCAGATGTCGGATCCTAAAGAAATGATGAGGTTCATCACTCGACTAAAAGGTCGCGCACAGACTCTAAGATTTTTATGAAGCGGAAACTATTTAACGTATAAAACTTTGTATACATGATGAAATCGTATATATGACTGACTGACTGACTGAGTAGCAAGACCGGACACAGAATATGGGCGAAAAATAATGAGGAAATAAATGAGAGCTAATCTCGTTGTCACGGTTTATATAGGGAGCTGTGGAAGGTGGTCCTCTGATGAGAAGTGTTAAGTGGGAAAAATCAGAGATTTGGATTGGAGGGATTTTTCTGTTTTTGGTAGAAATTTGTGTTTCATATTTTTACTGGCGAACTATTTTCAAAATTTGCTCCACCCGCACTGCAAATTTCATCCCTTGAGAACTTATTGGTGATAAGTCATCACCTTCTCTAGATTTTCTGGTCTACGGTCACCCATTGGCGAGTTTAGTTTTAGGTTTCCTTTACGAAGAGAGAGAGAGAGAGAGTATTTTGTTCATCACCCCCTCCGAACGACCCGGCCACGATAGTTTGAAAGCTCGCATTTCCCCTCCCCCCCTTTTTTTCTTATCTCTATTGAATGTGCGTTCTCTTGTCTAGACAGTGTTTCCTTCAACTTTTATAACCGTCAGCAAAAAATTAAAAATTAACCCTGTCATCCTATTTCCACTTTATTGCTTCCTGTCGTTAATGAAAGAACGCTCTTCAACGCGTTGTCACATATTTGGAATGCAACCTTCCATTCACTCAGGATTTCCGATCTGCATTTAGATATATTTTTTTATTAAAACAGAACCGAACTTTCTCGACAGGGTTTGTAACTCTGTCATAAGTTTTATTACCGTAGGTCGGGTAATCCTGGGTACCTATGTTTTTTGTCGCACTCCTAAAATGGGAAGACTTCAATGACATATTTCCTACATTTTGTCACGCTCGCCGATCGGTGACCGTTAACTTTCTGCATTTTTTTCTTCGGGCCCTGCCTCAACAATTACCCTGTTAAGTATTCACAAAACGAGGAAATCGTGGAGTCCTCCCGGACGTAACAACATATATTAACAAATCGTCTCAATAAGCTACGGTCGTTTCAACGCGGCTAATGCTCTGGTATGCTTTAATGTACCGTCTAACAAACTTCTCAATGCCACGCTGTTTTCTTTTTTCAAAACTGGTAATTCAAAAATGGATTTGATGTGATTTTGGACGCTTACACGCTCATTTTCATATCTTGCCTTTAGACCAAGCGTCGCTATAATTTACGCCCGTGATTTTCAATGACTCTATTGCTTTCGCCTCATCGTCCTTTAATGCCGACTTTAAGTAATGAAATTTTTGAATATCATTTAGGGTATCGTTGGAATGTATCAACGAATCGAATATACCAAAAAATGAATGCCATTCTTCATAGGCTCCGCTAAAAGTAAGAAGATTAATTTTAGGTAATCGTGCATGGGCATTAGTTACTCTGCTTGTTAGATCATTGAATGTCACGGTAGGTACTACGTTCGATTGATTTAAATTTATAACGAGAGCTGGTCCAACGCGTTCTTTTATTATTCTTTCACATATTAATTTCAAATGAACGTATTTTTCTTCGTAGCTAGTTATTTCTTGTTCTAATTGTGCTTCAGTTACTTCTTTATCATGAACGCTTAATTCCATCAAACTCTCTTCTAACGACTGTCTTAATTCTTCTAATTTGTCCAATCTAATTTTTATTTCCTCAATATCAACTGTATTTACATCTATAGCCTTTATAAAATTTTCCACACGCGTGAAACCAGCTTTTGCTACTCTTTTTCTTAACTTTATTTTTTGTAAATGTTCTTAGCCATTTTGAAATGGTCTTGTATGCGCGAATTTGCTTTGAAAGAAACTTATACAGTAAAATTGGATATTACAAACTATTCGTTACAATGAGTACGAAAAATTTTTTATCTTATCCGCTTCGCTATATGTACGAGGTGTGATAAAAAAGTAAGATGACTTTGTGAATTTCGCGCGCTCTGCGAAGCTACACTCTAATTTCAAAATTTTTTTTTGTTGTGTTGGTACACTCGTCACGATCATATGTTCACAGTTTTGACTATATAGCATGTGTTGTTTTTATGTGAGAGGCATAAAGGTTAGACTCGTGTTTGCGTGCTCGGCGATTTTTTGCCGTTGAAAATAATGGAGCAGAAAGTTTGTATTAATTTTTGTGTAAAAAATGGTATTAAGTGTTCAAAAACTCTTGAAATGTTGACAGTGGCGTACGGTGAGTCAACTTCGAGCCAAAAAAATGTTTATAAATGTATAAGTTATTTCAAGAGGGCCGAGAAAATGTTAACGATGAACCTCGCTCTGGACGCCCCAGCACGTCAAAAACCGACGAAAATGTTCAGGAAGTGAAAGAAATTGTGTTGAAAAATCGTCGAATCACGATTAGAGAAATAGCTGATGATCTTAACATATCGTTTGGCTCATGCCAATCAATTTTAACGGATGTTTTGGGTATGACACGTGTGTCAGCGAAATTCGTTCCAAAACTGCTTAATTTTGATCAGAAGCAGCGTCGCATGAACATCGCCCAAGACATGTTGAACGACGTCAATGATGATCCTGGTTTGCTCAAAAGGGTTATAACTGGTGACGAAACATGGAAAATTGAAAAGGCCCATGAAAGGACGAAGATTTGCGACGATTGAGGAGATTAAGGCTGCATCGCTGGAGGAGCTCAAGGCAATACCCAAAAGTGCATTTCAGAAGTGTTTTGACGACTGGAAAAAGCGCTGGCACAAGTGCATTGTATCAGAGGGGGATTATTTTGAAGGGGATAACATAATTTTGGATGAATAAATGAATATTTTTTTATAAAAATGAAAAGTCACCTTACTTTTTGATCACACCTCGTATAAGGACTCGCCGTTTCGTGTATGGAAAGACTCGCCGCCTCGCCACTTCGTGTGTGTGAAGACTCGTCGCCTCATGCCTAAGGACTCGCCGCCTCGCCGCCTCGTGTGTGTGAAGACTCGTAGCCTTGTATGTATGTGAGATTCATCGTCTCGTGCGGAAGGACTCGCCGCCTCGTGTGTGGGGCCTCGCTGTTCCTTACGAGGGCCTGCTTGTTGGAGAAGTTTCGCTTGCGCGAGAGCTCGTCATCTCGCTTGTAAAGATGGCGTCCGCTTTCGTAACGAACACGCGTGCTTGCGATGTGGCTTACCATTTGCGAGAGCATCCGTTTCGTAATTGTGCCACCTTTGCTTTACCCTCCGTAATGGGCAAATAATCATGTCGACGTCTCGACAGACTTTCAATTGCGCTACCTTGTTGTCTTGTGTGAGGACTCGCACGTCGTTTTTTTCAGGCTTCGTCTCGCTCGCTCGTTGTGTTCGACAAAGGCGTCCCGCTCTTATTTCCCAGTTTTGTAATTCCGGGATCCGGCTCGAAGGACCATGAAATGAATTATTGACTGCAGGTTTTTGGATGAAGGAATGGCACTCGTCTTGTCTACTTTTGGACACTTTTATTGCACAACAAAAATGTGATGCTCTATCTAGCTTGATTCTTATAGAATGTCGTAGTGAACGTAGCAGGTATGCATGCGCATACCAACAGCGCTCTATGGAACGGAACTACATGACACTAATAGCGTTTTTCATTGGCAGAACTAGTGCGCACTCAGTGCACTTTAAAGCCGTTGTATAAAAATCGACGTAAAGATATACGTTTAATAAAAATGTATAAACGAATTGAACCGTGAAATATTCGATACATTTTATTGTGCTATTTGATAAAATAAATTTTGGGCATTTTATTAATTGAGATATCTCATTTTTATATTTAGATCAGAATAGTGTACAACAGCTTTAATGTATACTGAGTGCGCACTAGTTTTGCCAATGAAAAACGCTATAAATCAATCGATCATCAGCGCTACAACACCGCGCAATACAAATAAAGTAAACGACTCAGATAATTATAACATAGGTTGGGAGTCGCTTTACGTGGAAGTATTGAAATGAGATTATTTGTTTAAACTTCTTTTGTTAATAAAAACTTAAAATAACTTTTTAACGAATAACGAGCGACGGCTAAAACTTATCGAAGGTTACTCAGAGTTATTACCTTGATAACATATGTCAAGATCAAGGTCATTGGAGGAGGTCCCCTAATCTGGAGTATTACCTGGAATTTAATCACTGCCACCTAGATAAAAAGTATGGACAACGAAGTTGTCCACAGTATTGTAGCAGTAGTATTGATTTAAACATTCTAGATTATGTTAAACAATCGATGACACCCAGTTGCCCCGGTTTCCCCTATACATAATTAAATCGAAGACTTTATAAAGGTGTACCAAAATGACCGTCAAATGTTTCATACGCAGTAAACTGAGTCGAAAAGTCCTCTACCATTTTGCAATTTTAGCAATAGTTAACAAAATAATAATTAATAAAAATCGTCGAATATTGGTTTTCAATAATTTTTAACTTAAATACTTTTTTTTTGTACAGCGGGGGAAACGCCTACGCATGCCCTCGGCCCGTGGGAACGGAACTGAGAGTTATGTGGGACTTGCACCCACTAAAACTCTCGCCAGTGTCCTTCCTAGACCCTTCGTTGGGGGCATGCGTGTAGCATTCTTCCGGGACACTCTCAGGCCCGTCGGCCACGGCCGACTCTTATTATACGTGGAGTCGCCGGTGCCCTGATCGGGCCTACTTCCTTTCTAAGTGAGATTGGAGGACATATCCCCCTCTTATCCTGCCCCTCTCTTGTTTTGAGAGGACAAAATCGGATTCCGAGTTCCCGCTCGAGTCTCGACCCCCTTGCCTATCTAAGGTTTAGTCGATGGGCTCATACACCTTCGTTGCGACGGCGGGCGCGAATATGTGACGTCCCGCTGACGTGATCCTTCTCACCAGGTTAGCGGGGTTGGAAAGGAGCAGTTAAGTTCTGCCCGCAGGTCCCAATCCCGCTCTGCCGTTACCGCGCGCGAGCGAGCGGCAGGGCGATTGTCACCCGGTATCTACTGGGGCGAGGTGCCGTTCGCCTTGGGAGCCTCTGCGTTGGTTTACGTCTCCGACGCCCGGACGACGGACGGCCCCCATTCGCACGAAGTCTCACTCCCCATCTTTCTCTTTCTCTTTCAGCCTTCACCTTCTGCCGCATCACCTGCTTGCAGAAGGAGGAGATCGCCACTCATGCCTCCTCGCTCCCTATCATTTTTTTGACCAATGTAGGGAGCGAGAGGTCCTATCCCACCACTGCGACCAGGACACCGCGCTCCATTTAACTTAAGTACTATCAACTTTATAGAGAAACAGCAAGAGATAAAAATTGTTTATTTTCTTTTTATAGAGTTCTGAGAATTTTTTCAGAATTTTTTAGTAACTGCCTGACAAGAACCCCGTGCCGTGCACACCGCCGCGAGCCTCCATAGCTCGGACGGTGCGCTTGCCAGGCTATTCCCGCTTCCAACGGTCCGCACGCCAAGCGATCGGTAGGCGCATACACTCTTCGCGGTAGGTCGGGCGAGCATACGGTTATCTTTAAGGATTAATATCTCGTTAACTATTGGGGAAAAAAACTTGCAAAATGGTACAAGACTTTTCGACTCAGTTTAGTCCGCTCTACCTGCCCATGAAATATTTGGTGATTATAGATGTATACAGGGTGTCCCATATCCTTCATTAATATTTCAGAGAGTGAAAGAGGATTAAATTTTGAAGTAAAAGTTTTTTACAAGTTTTGGCTCAGATCATTATTTACTTTTTTTAGTTATTGATGATTAAATTTGTTCAATCAGAGAGCACGCAGCCGGAGTATGCTGGAGCGTAGCATGCCATGGCATTTTCGCGCTTGCTATACATTCTCCTGAATGAAAATTTATTCTAATTTTTCATATTAATTAATAAATAAATCAATAAATCAATGAAAGGGTGAAAAAATAAATAGATAAGTAAATAAGCAAATAAATAAACAAATAAATTAAAATAAAATCTAATATAAAATAAAATACCCATCCAACACAAAATAAAATATCTATCTAATAGAACGAATATCTATCTAAGATAAAATGAATGAATAAAGTAAATAAAATAAAATAAAATAAAATAAAATATCTAACACAAAATAAATATCTATCTAAAATGAAATAAAAAAATTAAATGAAGTTAAATAAATAAAATAAAATAAATTAAATTAAATAAATAAAATAAAACCTAATATAAAAAAAAAAGCCTTTTTAGCCTTTTTTCAAGGCTGTTGAACAATAATCAGTCTTTTATAGACTTAAAAAACGTCTAAAATATAAACAAATTTTTATAAATAATAAATAATTTATTTTTAAATAAAACAAAATTAAATAAGTAAATCGTTTACGATAGATTCATTTTAGATAGAATTTATTTATCTTATTTTATTTTATATTACCATTTATGTTTTATATTACAGGTATGTAAATATAAAACCGGAATTTAACAATAGATGGCCATAGCTGTCAATGTAGTTGCCGTCAGATCGCACCATTGAGGCCATTTCCTTGTTCTGACATCTGACAAAGATTTTCAACTCATAACAATACAAGTTTCATACAACAGTATAGTTTGTAATAGCGTTGAACATGTCGAATTTTGTGCCTGGAAACTACGATTTGCGGACAGCATTGATTTTCTGTTACCATTTGAAGAAAACTGCTGCGGAATCGCATCGAATGCTTGCCGAAGCTTACGGTGAGCATGCTCTTGGTAAATCACAGCGCTTTGAGAGGTTTAAAAAATTCAAAAGTGGCGATTTTGACATGAGAAACGAAGAACGTAGAAAACCACCGAAAAAGTTTGAAAACAGCGAATTGCAAGCATCGTTGGATGAGGATGACGCTCAAACTCAACAACAACTCGCGGATCAATTGAATGTAACACGAGAAGCCGTCTCCATACGTTTGAAATCCATGGGAAAGATCCAGAAGATGGAAAAATGGGTTCCACATGAATTGAATGAAAGACAGCAGGAAAACTGAAAAACCACTTGCGAAATGCTGCTCGCCAGGTACAAAAGAAAGTCATTTCTCCATCGAATTGTGAATGGCGATGAAAAGTGGACATATTTTGAGAATCCTAAGCTTAAAAGATCATGGGTAACTCCAGGCGAACTATCGACATCGATTGCAAGGCCAAATCGCTATTGACGGAAGACAATGCTCTGTGTTTGGTGGGATCAGAAAGGTGTGATTTACTATGAGCTGCTAAAACCTGGCGAAACCATTAATACTGAACGCTACCGACAACAAATGTTCAATTTGAATCAAGCTTTGCATGAAAAACGACTGGAATATCAAAAAAGGCAACACAAAGTGATTTTGCTTCATGATATCGCACCATCACACACAGCAAAACTGGTCAAGGAAACTATTAAGGCGTTTGGTTGGGAAATACTTTCGCATGCGGCTTATTCACCAGACTTGGCTCCGTCCGATTACTACTTATTTGCATCAATGGGACACGCACTTGCTCAGCAGTGCTTCACTTCTTACGAAGATGTACGAAAATGGCTAGATGACTGGTTTGGCTCAAAAGAGCAACAATTTTTTTGGCGTGGCATCCACAAATTGTCAGACAGGCGGGAAAAATGTATAGCTAGCGATGGGCAATACTTCGAATAAAATATTTTTTATCATTTTCATGAAATAAACGTGTATTTTCTATTAAAAAATTCCGGTTTCATATTTACGTACCTGATAGTTTCCAAAACTAAAAATTTGTTTTTTAAGTAGAAAGTATGTGTTTATAAAACAAAGAATTTATGTAACCCTCAATGCCATCGATGTGACAGATTTCCTCACCTAAATATCTATCAACTTCAACAATTAATACTTCGGTGCTAGTTTCATCATTTCATGCAAAAACGGGTCGAATGAACCTAATTTTATCAACATCAGAAGTGAGGAGATTAAACTCAACAATTACCATAAAAGTATAATACATGAATATTACGATTAAATACTTCGAATACTCAGTAATGATATTTATAAATATATATATATATTTATGTGCAAACTATGAAGTTTATAAATAAATTAATTAAAATCAATTATTACATATATTTTTTACATCCACGAAAAAACAATTTTCAGGGAATGTATTTTACACATACTAATCCTAGAAAAGATCTTTGAATTATTTCTAAGCGAAAGCAAACTGTTCCGTTGGTTTTCGCTTTAGAATTAATTCCAAGATTTTTTCTGGAAATAGTATGTGTAAGAAGCATTAAATTAATTCAGGATAATGTATAGCATCATAACAGTCACATTCTAGTTTTATAACAATAACGCAGCAAATTATAAAACTGTTATATGACTATTACATAACATCTCAAGTTACATGTCATCTTTATATTATATAGCTGCAATGATTCGTGAGTAGGAAATTACAACTAACGTGGACGTAGAATGTTATACATATGTTATATTATCTGTTATATTCCGTTATATAGAAGCAATATAATGGTTATATATTTGTGTTTGCTGGGTATTGGCGTCAATGTCGTCAACCAGCTCTCAGAATATACGGTTGCACTGTCTGGCGCTAGAGACGCTAATTGGATGCCTGCACATTCGAGTTATAATGTTTAAAAGCTTACGGCGGAATGCAGGGTGCGGGGCTCTTGATAGGCAGTCTCCATTCCCCGCGCACCAAGCCATCGATGACGAATATTCGGTGCTGTAGAAATTAATGTCTTTATTACGAAAATTGGGAAATGGTCGAGAACTTTACGAGAACTATGCTAAGAAATGAAAATGACAAAGTGATTTGTTCGTTGTCGAACTCTGTTTAATCATAATAATTGTTACGTATGATAGTTGGATGTCTATCGCAATGACGCAGGCAGCACATAAAAGACCGCGTAGTGATATGACCGTATAATAGTATCTCACAAGGCTTTTATTAATAATGATACAGTAGTGCCACAAAATAGTTATAGTAACAGAAAGTGTATAAAAGGCGGGAACGTAACGTTCATAAAAAAAAGGCAGAAGGAAGTTAGTAAGTATGTAAGGAAATAAGTAAAGCATAGAGCAAGCAGAAGTTAGAGAGGGTGTTACAAAATGAGAGCAGTTCATTGGTTCATGGACATTTGGAACGCGAGTGCTTAGAAGTACGCTAAACATTCTCAACTCTCTTCCTGTTCGAGTGTTTTTATGTGTCTACACTTCCCTATTGCATTAAACGATGCGACGAATTTTTCCTTTGAGAGAGCCTTAGTAAGAAAATCTGCATCCTGTTCTCTTTCAGTTTAACATATTTTATGCACAATTCGCCTTGAATGAGTTTTTCTCTAATAACATGAAAGTGTATGCCTATATGTTTAGTTCTTTAGTGAAATTCTGAGTTCTTAACTAGCTTTATCGTGCTTTGATTATCAATCAATAGATCAGTCGCCTTTTTACTAGGATTACGAATATCACTTAGAAGTCTTCGAAGCCAGACCAATTCTCTACTTGCCATACTTGCCGCTACATATTAGGCTTCAGTCGTACTCAAGGAAACCAATTTTTGTTGTAAACACCAAGAAATGGAACCATCTAAGGGCATAAAAATATATCCCGATGTGGAACGCCGGGTGACTAGATCTGAATATGCGTTTAACAGCGCTCCAATGTGCATGAGTATAGCATGTGAGATAACGGTTTAAAACGTTTACGGCGAATGTTATATTTTCAATCATGACAGAAACATCAAAGAGCCATTTGCCTCACGATAGGGATACTCTTCGTTTCGGTCCTTTGTCCTTCATAATTGAGGCGATTGAATGAGGATCTATCGGCACACAGGTTTCGCTTCTCTCAGCGAGGATACGTTCAATGTAGTTCTTCTGATGTATGAAAATACAGTGATTCTCCTTATCATGCTCAATTTGAATCCCAATGTGTGTTTTAGGACTGCATACAGTAATATCAAAACTACCCTAATAACACACTTTATCCGGGATACAGCCTGAGGATGTCCTTAGGATGTTCAAAGGACGTATGGACGTCCTTTGGACGTCCTCAGGACGTCCCCTGGAGCTCTGTGTTGTTAGGGTACTTTTAAGTGTCCTTGCAAATTGAACGCATTCTCTGTTTCCGCAAATATCATACCATCGTCGACGTATAAGCCTGACATTACATCCTCCGGACCCATTTGCATCCAACTGTCGTTCTATTAGGTGGCAGATGCTCCAGTCTCCAAGTGTGATTCATGACATCAAGTTCTTTTCTGATGGCTTCTTTTCACTTCTTGGCGTCCGATCCTGTAACAGCTTCTTCGTAGGTCAACAGTTCTACCAGCTCGGTGAAATTTGCCTCGTATCTGGCTTCTTTATTAGTGCTGTCTCTGTGATTATGATGAGGTTTTTCTGGCTTTGAATTATTGCCGATATCCTAGTGTAGTGTTCTTTTCGCCTTCTAACTTCTCAACATCTCCTATGTCGGGTTTTTTTTTGTTAAATGTTATCATTTTTGTTTTCTCTTCCTGGATCAGAGAGGTAAAGTTATTTCATTCTCGCTCGAAATACCCGTGTGCTCGGATTTCTCATTAAATGTGATATTTCATGGGATATTTTAATTGTGCCTGTTTCAACATCATAGAAGCGATAATTGACTGATTCTGTTTGATATCCAACGAACATCATTTTTTTTTATTTCGCGTCCCATTTTCTTCGCTGTTGCTCTATATGGACATAGGCTTCTCATCCAAAGGTTTTGAAATAGTCCCGCTTTGCCTGTTTTCCGACCCCCATATTTATGGAGTTCGAGCATCTTTGTGAGATAATGGAGTTTAATTATATATATGTTAGGCCGCGTTCATAGCCTCGGCCCACAATCGAAGTGGTAGATTTTTGGTATGTAACATTGTACGAGCCTTCTCAACTAGTATTCTATTGTGTCTTTCTGAACAATCATTCTGTTGTGGCATATAAGGGACTGTCATCTCCAATTGGATTCCTGGAGACGTCAAGAAGGATTTCATGTTGTTGACATATTCCTTTCCATTATTCATCCTGATAGCCTTGAATGGTCGATTGAACTTGTTCGTTACAAGAGCATAATACTCTTTAAAGAACATAGTAAAGAAAAAGCCGTTTTTTGCCCATTAACGGAAAAGTGTAAAACATAGCGAATCTTATAGATTTCGACCTGCTGAACACGATGTCGCCAACTGCTTCTTATAAACCTCTTTCAGCCGGGCCCAGGGACAACGAGCGTGAACGTGGCGGTTTTCTATCCTCTCTTGTTTTGTATTTTATGTATTTTTTGTTTTTTTTATATTTTTTTGAGTTGTATTTTTTTATATGTTTTAGTATTTTTTTATATGTCTATTTAATCGGTGTCTGAACCGTCAGACCTCTTCGTCCGATTCGTCATCCGTTTCATATTATAATTGTGAGTCTCAAAATAATCTGTAACATGGGAACCCGGTAATAGTATATTGCTCAAATAAAAAAATACTAAGCATGAAACAACCTTACTTTGCGCGGACGTAGCTCGTCGGTCACGGGCTGCGGCCAGGGTCGCAAAGAGGTTCGGCAGGGAGGAGAGAGATGCAAGGCGGTAATAATGTGGTCGATACGGATTTCGTGATAAGATGACAGTATATTCTATTATGAAGTACACTATTGTGAGTGTATGTATGTGTGTGTGTGTGTGCGTGTGATACAATTTGTCGCGGCTGGTGTGTTTGCTGACGGCGGTGTGTATGTGTGTGTATACAATGCGTATCGGTGTGAGTGTGCGGTGTGTATGTGTAGCGCGTATGTGTGTGTGCGGCGGGCACGATTTGCAGTGCGAACGTGGTCGCGTGAATCGCTCGGTGACGCGGGGTGCGCGGAACGTGGGCTTACACCGCTAGCACGTGCGTCGCTATGTTCGCGCGACGCGTCGCAACGCGAGGAGCGATACGTCGCCCCGATG